TAGGGTTTAGGGTTTAGGGTTTAGGGTTCAGGGTTGAGGGTTTAGGGTTTAGGGTTGAGGGTTTAGGGTTTAGGGTTCAGGGTTCAGGGTTTAGGGCTTCAGATTTTTAGGGTTTAGGCTACTAGGGTTTAAGGGCGACCCGAGGTTGCTCTCCTCTAAGGGGTCTTACAGGGAGTCAGGGTTTAGGGCTTAGTTTTTTTTTCGGTGTTTAAGGGTAGGGTTTAGGGTTTAGGGTTTAGGGTTTAGGGTTTAGGGTTTAGGGTTTAGGGTTTAGGGTTTAGGGTTCAGGGTTCAGGGTTCAGGGTTCAGGGTTTAGGGTGATTTGTAGGTTTTTGGTTATTAGGGTTTCAGGGCGACCCGAGGTTGCCCTCCTTGAAGGGGGTTCAGGGTTCAGGACTTGTTAGGGCGTTTTGGGCGTGAGGATTTTGTAGGGTAAAAGTTTTTTCCTGGGCTTTTTAAAGTTTGAGTTGTTGAGGGTTTTTTAGGGTTTCAGGTTGTTTTAGGGTTTTTACGTTTTAAGGTGCTTTTGTAGGGTTGCAGGGTTTTTTGGGGGGTTTTAAGGGTTCTGTTTAGGGTTTTTGGTTTTTCAAGGCTTTTTTGTTAAGGCTTTTTTAGGGTTTAAGGAGTTTTAAGGGTTTTGGGGGTTTAAGGTTTGTTTAGGGTTTTTAGGGTTTAAAGTTTCTTTAGGGTTTTAGGGTTTAAGGTTTTTCTTTAGGGTTTCAAGGGTTTAAGGTCTTTAGCGTTTTTAGGGATCTAAGGTTTTTTGGGTTTTTTAGGGTTTATAAGTTTTTGTTGGGGTTGTCGGGGTTTAAAGTTGTGTTAGGGCTTTAAGGTGTAAGTGTTGTTTAGATGCTGATGGTTTAGTTTCTTGTTTTGAGGGTGTTTCGGGTTTTAGGGTTTATTTTGTTCAGGGTTGTTAAGGGTTTACGGGCTTCAGGGGTTTCAGGGCTTACATTAGGGTGTTGTTGACCGGCGGGCCCGGGGGTGGGGGGGGGGGTTGCCTTTTTGCCGTGAGCCTGATTGTCGTAGGTTAAGTGCTGGGGTTTCAGTCTGCATGGCATCGGCAAGCAAGTTGCTCCTGTATTGTTCGGGGTTTTGGGGAGTTCCTCGCCCTCAACCCTCCTAACAATCCTCAACCCTAAACCCTAAATTCCCACCCGGCCTTTTTAGGCCGTACCCACCCTTTACACCTTTACTGGATGGACAATGGGTGGAGTCATTCGAGAATGGTCGAATTGAGAGCCCCTAGGGCTCGCCTTGCCACTAGGCCACCAGAGTGCCCCTTTTTACACAGGGATCCTCTCTGACTCTGGAGGCCCTCTGGACCCTGACCCAAAAATCCTGAAATCCAGGACCCGCCATGGAGGGTACCCCTTCCCGAACCAAAACTCCCTCCCCGCCTCCCTGTCCCTCGACCCCCTAAGCCCCTCTGCCTGGCCCTTCCTGACCCCCCCTCAAGCTCGATCCTGGCCCTGTATTCCCCCTTACCTGACCCCCGCCCCACTACCTTCACCTTTGTAGGGAAAGCAATGGTAAGAATTGAGGGCGACAGGCCTAAACCCTAAAAGGCAGTGGTTTGGGTGGTGGCCTGTGAAAGCTCACAGCGGGTGGGGAGAAGAACCCAGCACCAATGAAATTGTTGGATTACATTGACAAGAGATGCCTTCGCGTGACATGCCCCCCCCCCCCCCACCCCCTGGGTGTGTAGGGGCGCCATTTACGCATGGCACTTACTGCCGCTGCGCGGCGAGACGTCCTAAACCCTAAACCTCTCTTTCATATAATAATTTAAGCCTTCATGACCTTCGTGGTTTAAGGCCTGGGGTTCGTGGTTTAAGGCCCGGGGTTCGTGGTTTAAGGCCCGGCCGTCCCCTTCGGCCTTAAACCACGAACCCCGGGCCTTAAACCACGAATACCGGGCCTTAAACCACGAATACTGGGCCTTTAATTTAAACCTTAATCACCTTCGTGGTTTAAGGCCCGGGGTTCGAGGTTTAAGGCCCGGGGTTCGTGGTTTAAGGCCCGGGGTTCGTGGTTTAAGGCCCGGTATTCGTGGTTTAAGGCCCGCGGTTCGTGGTTTAAGGCCGGGTCCCCTTCGGCCTTAAACCACGAACCCCGGGCCTTAAACCACGAATACCGGGCCTTAAACCACGAATACTGGGCCTTAAACCACGAATACTGGGCCTTTTAATTCGAACCTTAATGACCTTCGTGGTTTAAGGTCCGGGGTTCGTGGTTTAAGGCCCGGGGTTCGTGGTTTAAGGCCCGGGGTTCGTGGTTTAAGGCCCAGTATTCGTGGTTTAAGGCCCGGGGTTCGTGGTTTAAGGCCCGGGGTTCGTGGTTTAAGGCCCAGTCATGATTCGTGGTTTAAGGCCCAGGCCTCAAGGCCTCAAGGCCGGGGTTTAGGGTTTCAAGGCCTCAAGGCCGGGGTTTAGGGTTTCAAGGCCTCAAGGCGGGGTTTAGGGTTTCAGGGCCTCAAGGTCGGGGTTTAGGGTTTCAGGGCCTCAAGGCCGGGGTTTAGGGTTTCAGGGCCTCAAGGCCGGGGTGTTGGGTTTCAAGGGGGAGGCTAACGAAGAGATGCAATGGCAAGAATATGAAGTAGTTAATAATATTAGGTGTGTTTGTTGTGTCCGTTCGTTTAGGCCTTTGAAACTGAGATGATTGGAGAATACTTGTATTGTTGTTTTTCTCAATGTCATGGGATTCTCTGGGTGGGTGGGTGTTATATCAGAGCCGTAAATTTAACTTTACCATGAAACTGCTCGACCCGGAGCTGCTGAACCCTAAACCCTAAACCCTAAACCTTAAACCTTAAACCCTAAACCCTAAGCCCTAAACCCTGGTCCTGACCCCAAACCCTTTGTCCCTCCAAAGGTCCCCTAACCCCATCCCCGAGACTCCCTGACGTAGGGGTCGGAATAAGTACTATTCATAGTATCCCCCCTTATGGTCCCTACATCAGACATACGAAAATAGCCCGTATGCTTATCATTAAGGGCCCCTATATTCCAGGGTTTGGTGTTTCGGCAGTTTTGGGGACGATTCTGCCTTTAATGGCTCCGCAAAAAAGCCTTATGCTAACTATTAAGGCCCCTATTAAAAAAAAAAAAAAAACTTTGTGGTCCCAAAACAATTCTACTAGAAGAGCTCCCAAAAAAAACCCTAAACCCTAAACCCCAAAAAACCTATTCCAAAGATCAAGGCCCCTATATTCTCACCCCTAAGCCCTGTTTTGCAACTGGGACTTACCCCTAACCCTTTTGAGCAACGGACTTTGGGGGCTGCCGGCAAACATGCAACTAAACCCTAAACCCTAAACCCTAAACCCTATATTCTCACTCCTAAACCCTGAGCCCGGCTTAGTCCTTCAGGTCGGCCAAGGCAGGTTTCCCCAACTCCTTGCAGGTGTGTGTGTGTGTGTGGTTTGGGGTTTTTACACGGCAGAGGGAAAACCACGTTTGGGGTTTAGGGTTTAGGGTTTTGCGTGATAGGGCGTAGATGCTGGGAAGGTTAGGTTTTGGAACAAGCTCGGAAGCTTCGCGAGGTGCGAAGAGCAGCTTTGGCCCGATTGTGCCATCGAGGTCGAAGGGCTTAAGCGCCGCCCCCCAACGTAGGGGGGCGGCCTAGGCCCTGAGTTTAGGGTTGAGGGTTTCCCATTCACACGGCCTGCGCGTGCCACCTTCCCGTGCTACTTCAAAACCATCCTCGGTTGGCGCTGCTTCTTCTTTCAGTCTACCCTAAACACTAAAAAACTTAGGGTATGTGGCTTGTAGGGTTTGTAGCGCTTGGCTCCTCCAAGCAAACCCTAAACCGTATCAATCCCTAAACATGGCAGGTGAAACGGAAGCCCCAACATTGCTGTTTGCTAGGCTAGGCTGGGGTTTGCAAAGCTGGCCTTGGGGCCCCACAGGGGTTGTTGTGGTGTCGGCTTTTGGCAAGGGTGTTAGGGTTTAGGGTTTAGGGTTTAGGGTTTAGGGTTTATCGGCTTTCTTCGAACTCAAAAGGCGCTTTCAACGCAACGGTTTAGGGGTAAGGGTGTAGGGTTTAGGGTTTAGGGTTCCCCCACATACGAAAACAGCCCTTAATAAGGATTCGAGTACACCCCATGATAATCCTGACAGAGGACTGTTAGTATCAGGGGGAGCATCCCAACCCTGACCCCCCCAAACATCCTCCTCCGTAGAAACGAAGTCCAGGATGTCATCTACAACCTGGACTGGGCTTCGGGAACTTAAGGGTTTAGGGTTTAGGGTTTAGGGGCCTAGAGTTCGGTTGGGTTAGGGCTTAGGCTAAGTTGCAGATTCTTGTTTGCCACCCGCCTAGCTCGGGGCACTGCGCTGACTGGGAAAAGTTCTTGGTGCAATTAAAGCTCAGCAGAAAACATGTCAGGGGAATCCCCGCATGGAGGGAAAACTAAACCAAACCCTTTCATCACACAACAACCAAGCAGTACCTCTCAATACACCAGGATCTCGAATCCCAAGACAGCAGCGCACTTTACTTGAGAGCTTCGAGTTCAAGGCACTACAGAGGACAACGCCACTGAAAGGACTCCAGGCAACACTGAAACTAAGATAGCTAATAATATGCTCTCCTTCCAATCTGCTCACCGACTCGCGTCTCAAGAAAGGTCTACGCAAAGACCCATGGACACAAGAGCAATGATGGTTGTTGTGTTCCTTCCTCCTGGCGATTCCGATAGCCAATCCTACATCCGCTGTGGCCCAGGGCGTTTATCATTGGAATAGGGTTTTTTTTGGGGGGGATAGTATAGTATAAGTATACAGGGACCGTAAGGGGATATGTTTAGCAATTATTCCGACATGTATGTGTCATGTCCCGTCATACTTTGCTTATATTTTATATTGAGGCAAACACCATTACCCCTACATGTTTAAATATCCCTTTGTGTATCTACCTATATGAGCAAAAAGCAAAATTCTAGACTCTTAGCAGCTCTCCCCCGTCGAGTCTAACAAGCGAAACAGGCGCCTGGAAAGCTAGGCCGACGAAAGCTCCAAATCGGTAGCAGCACTGACCTGCGGGCTCTTGGGGCCGGAGGGGAAGGGGGGAAGGGGGGAAGGGGGGGGGGGCCTTTAAAGGAAAATATGTTCGTGGGTTTAGGTTTTAGGGTTTTCTCTTTAGGGTTTAGGGTTTAGGGTTTAGGGTTTGTGTTTTTACGGTTTAGGGGTTTATAGGCTTTAGAGGGCTTAAAGGGTTTTGAGCATGTCATGGGCCTATGCACTACTCAGACATGGCTCCGGCGCGATGTACGTGTTTGGAGAGCACAAACATCATCGGTGCGTTCAAATTGAGATATGATCCTGCCTGATACTTCTATATATATATATGTGTGTGTGTATGTATATCTAAAGGATATGCATATAATAGCTCTCTTGCTTTGACCATGGCGAACAATCAGGGTTAATAGCTTTGAGACGGCCTACGGCTTTTTTTCTAGGTGTGCATGCACTTCTTGCTGCACTCGGCTTTAGATCTCAGTCGCTCCCTGGAAAGAGATAGGCAGAAGCACAGCTATACGGCCTGAATTCAACCCAACGATCCCCGTCATACCCCTCATTCAACTGAGATACCTTGCCTCAAGCCGTACAAATCCCAAGTCATTTCCGCCTGAGCTATATATGCCCGAAGCCCCGAAACCCGCTTAGGCAGCTCCCTTTCAACAGCAACTCTTGGGCTCTCTCTGGGTTAAGCCAGGAAGCAAGGCAGCAAAATGCCCAGAACACCCCGGGCTTGAACGATTTGATAGTACGGGTATTCAACTTCTCAAACCCTAAACCCTAAGCCCTAAGCCCTAAACCCTCAACCCTCACCCATTGCTGCTGAGACGCTTTCGTTGGCATCCGGATCCCTCTCCTGTGAGGTTAGTGATTGTTAAAAGGTTGAGATGCCTGATACTATCTTACTAACAGTCCTGGATCGGGATTAGAGTACCCCTTATTCTCATCCCTACCAAGGACTGTTAGCATAAGGGGGAACATCCCAATGTTCGGGGGTTTGCTACGAGTATTTTCGGATCAAGGATGGGAGGCATGGCTTCGATTGCTGAGGGTTCCACATGCAAGAGGTCCCAAAAAAGAACCCAAGGGAACAAACGCCACTGCCCCGAAGCATACGACTACAAATCTCGGGCTTCAAGGTGTTCCGAAGCGCTTCGAATTCAAGATGCTCCGGCTCTGAAGATGAAGTTACCCGGGTTCCCACAACCCTGAAACCAAGCCCTTTAAAGCACAGGAATGCCTGTTTGCTCAAGACCGCGGCCGCATGGCATGCCGCCGCCAGCAGAGAGGCCGTCTTGTAGAAACTCTTGGCCAAGTAGTCCTGCTGATTGCATAATACAGGGTGGGGCCCCCTTACTATACTAACTGTAGTTAAGGGACTTATAACCTAACTTAGGGTCCTTATAACCCAATTTAGGGCCCTTATAACTCTACTTATAACTAGGGGGCCCCACCCTGTAGGATGACGAAACCAGCAACCCATCAACCCTCCAAAAAGACCTGCAACTTAGGACCCGTCAGTGTCATCCCAAACCTATCCCAATCGCCAGGCGGCTGCGCTCCAGCGGCAACATGCTTTTTGGTGAGTAAAAACCGGCTTCAGCCAGGGTTGATGTTGGAAACTGGGTACCTATCCATCTAAAAAAATGAAAAAAAGCCGGGTATATAAGTCTCAAGATGAATGCCGGAAGCCTCGAGCGAGTAGTCTACCGCCTCGAACCGCACGGCGGACTGCGCCAGCTCGCCCCTGCCGAAGTCGGCGACGACCTGCTCTTGAGGATTTTCAATCCGAACGGATTAGGATTTAGGATTGGGGTTTAGGGTTTAGGACTTAGGGTTAGGGTTTAGGAAAGCCCGTATATGGGCTTTCTGAAATTTGGGGGTACCGTCTTGGGGTCCTTATTGTAAGGGAATCCTACTATTTGGGGTGTATATTAGGGGTCCCTGGATTTCATCCGAACTGCCTGGGACTCTCTTTACCTACAGTGTAATGGGCTAGACCTACTAGTTAAGGGGTAGCTACGAGTAAACTGTAGGTAGATGGAGTCCCAGGAAGCCCTAAATAGAGACCCTAAGCGCCAAACCACAACGCTAAACCCCAAACCCCAAACCCAAAACCCTAAACCCTAAACCCAAAACCCTAAACCCCAAACCCGAAACCCTAAACCCTAAACCCTAAACTGTACTGAGGGCACGTGATCGTTATAGCTTTTTAGGGTAGAACGTAGTGGATCCTTGGAGCTTCATGGCTGCTTGTAAGTAGGGTTGTAAGTAGGGTAACTATGGTTCTAACCCTCACTTAAGGTACTTACAACCCTCATTATAAATGGCCATGAAATCTCCAAGTTTCGAGGTTTAGGGTTTAGGGTTTAGGGTTTAGGGTTTAGGGTTTAGGGTTCAGCGACCTTACCCCCCCAAAAAAGCCTTACTTGAAAGCATGGACTGAGGTCGACACCAGCCCCCAAAAAAGCCTACAGGTTTAGGGTTTTTTTTGCCACCCGACTAGGTTTAGGGTTTAGGGTTTAGGGTTTAGGGTTTAGGGTTTAGGGTTTAGGGTTTAGGGTTTAGGGTTTAGGGTTTAGGGTTTAGGGTTTAGGGTTTAGGGTTTAGGGTTTAGGGTTTAGGGCTTGGGGTTTAGGGTACACCCCTAAACCAGGCTTGGAGGTTGCCAGGCTCAGAGCCAGTGGCTCCTGTGACTCCTGTTTAGGATAAAAAGGGTTTAGGGTTCATAGGCAGGGTTTAGGGTTTAGGGTTTAGGGTTTAGGGTTTAGGTGACAAGGGAACGAACTCGCTCGAAGGCACGGAGTGCCGTGCAGAAGCAAACCTGCGGGTCCTTGCTGAGGGCTCCATGAAAGGCTTTTTACAGGTGACATAGAAAGCAACAAAAGGCTCACAACGTCCCCTTTACCCTAAACCCTGGGCCCAAAACCCAAAACCCCAATCCCTGGACCAACAGGCTTCCCATCGAGCGGCCTTCGAAATCAGAAGCACCGTTGGAAGGCTCCCAATTTCCGCGACGAGCACCGAGGCTGTGGCAAACCTCGAAGGCAAAATTAGACCGTGGCTCTACTGGGATGCATTTTGGTGCCTCATCAACGGGAGTACGGCTCCTTCTAAAAACCCTAAACCCTAAACCCTAAAGATCAGTGGGGAGGATTCGGGCCCATGCCACTTCAAAATCTTTTTCCAGCGCAACCGCAGTCGGTCGGCGCAGAACCTGAAGGCCCCGTGCATTGGCTCAACTGTTGCTAAGCAAACACAGAACTTTTTATGTAGACTGCCACCTCTACTTCCAGTGACCTCATCATCAGGCTACTGGACGTATTACGGACATAATCGTCCCCCAAACCTTAATACCTAAACCCTACTTGAGGTTTAGTTGGGTACTTGTCTGTAGGGGTTTTAAGTATGGTAACTCTGCCAACACAGGCAGACAAACCAAACCAGCCTACCGGTACTTGTGAGGACGATCCTTTAGGGTACTTCGAACCCTACTTATGAAGTACCCTAAACCCTAAACCCGAAACCCTAAAGTAGACCCCAAAGCATCCTCAGCCTTCCTAAGGACCTAAATCATCCCAAGCTCCCTGAATTCAATCCTAAACCCCTACATGATCCCATGCCCAATATAGGGGCCTGAATAATTTGAATGGGGTTTTGGGGATGAATATAATATAACTATACGGGGCCATTGGGGAATACTAGTAGTACTTATTCCGACCCCTAGATTGAACCCTCCCAAGCGCTACACCCATACGTTAAGTACCCTCTGAGAAGTTGAGCCCCGAAAGCCTCAAACCCTAACAAACCCTCAAACCGTTTTGCGGCCCTAACTAAACCCTAAACCCTAAACTCTAAACAATTAATTTTAAACCCTAAACCCTAAACCATAAACCCTAAAACCTAAAACCCTAAACCCTAAACCCTAAACCCTCAACCCCCCCCCCCCCCCCCCCCCCCCCCCCTGTCTCTGAGAAGTTGAGGCTTCCGGCAGGAAGTCGCCCACCAGCGTGGCGCTGCGCTCGCCGAGGCGCAGGTGGGCGGTCTCCTCCACAGGGTTTAGGGGTTTAGGGGTTTAGGGTTTAGGGGTTTAGGGTTTAGGGGTTAGGGGTTTAGGGTTTAGGGAATAAGGTTTAAGGTTTAAGGTTTAGGGTTTAGGGTTTAGGGAATAGGGCTCATAGGGGTTTAGGGGTTTAGGGGTTTAGGGTTTAGGGTTTAGGGTTTAGGGTTTAGGGAATAGGGTTCAGGGTTTAGGGGTTTAGGGGTTTGGGGTTTAGGGAGTTTGTCCATGTTGCTATAGACTGGATATACTTGAGGGCCCGAAAGCTGCTAGTAACTGCTAGTATAGGAAGGCCCAGGTATTTAAGTACATGGACCCTTTGTGACCGAGTGCAAATGCAGCTTTAGAGTGCAGCTGTGTGCACACTTTGCGTTAGGTCTGTGACTGCGACTTCTGTTTCCAGTGCAAGGCCCCAAAACACCCTAAACCCTAAACCCTAAACCCTAAACCCTAAACCCTAAACCCTAAACCCTAAACCATAAGGAAAACAAGGAGCACGTAGTCCATTTACTGCGGGAAGGTTTGGGGTTTGGGAGTTGATCGACGGGATTGAAGTCGTCAGGGTCTTTTAAAGGCGGTAGGCTGCCGTGGGTTGCACAACCCGGCGATTGAAATCTTCCTAAGCCCACTGGTAACCTACAAACCCCTTATCTCCCCTCTAAGCCCTGTAGCCATCAGCCACAAGTCTTACTTGCATAGGGTCATTACCTCATTCCTCCCATTCCCTACGAGTACCAACCATCAACCACAAGTAACCATCAACGCCAAGTAGGACCGTCCTCGCCGCGGCGCTTGTCAGCGTCGTCCAGGATGTCGTCCTGGAGTGGAGGCGCGGTTTAGGGTTTAGGGTTAAGGGTTTAGGGTTTAGGGTATGTGGGGCGAAGGTGCCTTTTTGTGAGGCGAGGGCTGTGGCTCCCGCGCTCGCGCACGGGACGAAGCCTAAATCCCAAGCACTCGAAAGGACTTCAACCACATAACGGCCGGCATGTGCTCTACGAACACTAGAGGACCACATGATGGAGAAAAATTATGATTATGAACATTGTTATCATTCTGGACAACCGTAAACCCCCAAACCACGAAGACGTAAACCCCAAAACCCCAAAGCCCCAAAACCCCGAAAACCCCAAAAAAATGCCCAGAACCCCAAACCCCTTTTGCAACCAGGTCTCTGCAGCCCAAACCCCTAAACCCCTAAACCCCTAAACCCCGAACCCAAAAGCCCTTCTGCACCATTGCCGCGACTGACATGTCCGAGGCGCATGCACCAGGGAGGCAGAGTGGAGCACCTCCACCTTGGGTGGGGCCCCCCCCCCTACAGCAGTTTTAAGGCCGAGAGTTTAGGGTTTAGGGTTTAGGGTTTAGGGTTCAGGGTTTAGGGTTTCGGGTTTCGGGTTTTAGGAGAAAGTCCTATGGGGCAGGGTTTTATTTGGGATCGGAACCCATAGAGCTTTGAGATTAGCCTAATAACCCCAAACCTACTCTTTTGTAGGGTCTTAGCATAAAGCCCCTTACAGGATTCTTCGGTCTTCGGGAAGTTGTGGCTTCTTCAACCCTTTCAACCCTAGACCCTCAACTACCCGAAGCCCCTAAACCCTAAACCCTAAACCCTAAACCCTAAACCCTAAACCCGAAACCCGAAACCCTAAACCCTAAACCCTGCTTTCCATATTAATCAACCCCAGCTGCAGCGGCCGCGAGGGCCGCAACGTTGGCCATGGCGCCCTGGCGCAGCTCAAACTTCGGAGGGTTTTGGGAGGCTCAGCTGGGTTTAGGTTTAGGGTTTAGGGTTCAGGGTTTAGGGTTTAGGGTCTAGGGTGTAAGGTTTAGGTTTAGGGTTCGGGGCTTAGATGGGTTGATGCAGCACCATCTCCGAAGAGCGAATGGGGTTTAGGGTTTTAGGGTTCAGGGTTTGGGGCTTAGGTGGGTTTAGGGCTAGTTAGGCTTGAGGGTTTGCCAGTAGCTTCTTTTGCCGCCCGCCTAGCCGCCTAGCCGTGCGCTGCAGGGGACCATTTCGGAGAAACATACACAACCTTAAGATGGTGTTAAGAGCTTGTAGGGTTTGGGTTTTAATTGCTTGGGTTCTCAGCTGCAGTGCCTTTTTGGTTTTTTTTTTTGGGGGGGGGAGGGGGGGGTTATTGTTTTTTTTTGTTTTTTGTGGGGGGGGGGGGGGTTTATTGTATGGACGAGTACAGTAAAGGAGAACCCGGGTTCCCAGTCCTGGGCACTGGGGTTTGGGGGGTTCAGGGTATAGGGGAGCGATCTTCAGAGACCTGTAAGGCTTGTGCATAGGGGTAGAGCGAGCCAAAAAAACCGGGAATAAGGGCCTACGAAACCCGAAACCCTAAACCCCACAACCCTAAAGCCCCGAAAACCCTAAACCCTGTGAACCCTAAACCGACAGACCCCTGATGTCCAGCCTCAGACGCTCCCGTGGCCGCAGCTGTCAGCAAAGTAAGGGCGGGACGGAGCCGCTTCCCGCCTCATGGGCTCGCAGGGTTTTGGTTGTCAGTGGCCGAGTTTAGGGCTTGCAGGGCTTCGGGTTAAAAGGGCTTTTAGAGCTTATAGGATATAGGGGGTTATAGGGTTTAGGGCACTTATAGGCCCAGGTTTAGGGCACTTCTATAGGTTTCCTGGTTCTTGTTCAACAACCTCCTAGTTGGTGGTTTCGCGGGGTCGGGACACCCCGGCTTCTCAAGCTCATCGTGTGTCAGCTTTGAAAGGGTTAATGCCTTGCAGGCCTTGCTTGAAGGTTCACGGATACTTCTAAGCAGGGCTCTACGCGCCCCAAAGAAGGCTCTAAACTTGGGATGTTCCCCCTTGTACTAACAGTCCTTACTAGGGACTAGAATGGGGGGGGGGGGGGTACTAGAAACTTCATATTAAGGGGCAACATACCAAGCTCTAGCCATAGCTACCCTCCTTATAACCCTACTTACAAGTACCCAGATGAACCTCCAAGTAGGCTCTAGGCATTGGAGTGGTCTTGGGGCCCAGGGATCCGGAAAAAGCTCTGCAGGTTCTGAACCTGCAACGCACTGTTTGAAGACGAGGGCTCTGTGTGCATAAAGGCCTGTGAGCACGTGTGCACTTGGAGGTTCAGGCTACTTATCACCCCAATTCTAACTATGCCCCGCAAAAAACGCAAGAACCTGAATCTCGATGTAACAATAATATAATACATAACGAGATATCATCTACAATATTACAACAATAACAAATTGTACAATGCAATCATGGGAATACTAGTAAATCCCTATTCGGGTGGCCTGAGGCGAACAAGCGCAGCACCTCCTCGCGCACCTCCGGTAGGCAGTATGGGACACTTGGTTGGAACAAAAACATAGGGGTACCCTTTTTGGGGGTCCCTTTACGGGGACTGTACTCCATTTTCGGGGTATGAAAGGGGTACCCCCTTATTTTGGGAAATGCCCATATGAGTTGTTTTTAGGGTTCTACCCGAACAGATTCCGGAGTAGGGAATTGTAGGTCCGGCGCGCCCTGAAATGGTTTGGGGACCCTGTGAGCTTGATCTGTCTATGGGCTGTCCTAGGTCATATATGGACTAGGGCCCATAAAACTTTTAAATGCACGGCAACCCAACCGCCATCCGACAAGTGATGCAGAACCAGGGCGTAGCGGCTTCACAAGACCCGTCCTTCCAGGAGCTTCTACGGCGCCCTAGTAACCTAAATAGAAGGTCCCTGCAATTATAGGGTCAAAACTTGGGCTGAGGATGTAGTAGTAACAGGCATGTAGTACTGGTAGGAGGCATGCGCATGGCGTTGGCATGTCCTTGGTGAGGGAGAGGGGGGAGGGGGGGGGGAGGGCGGGCTAACAAAGAAGGACCCAGATGGGTATTTCACCCAAAGAGGGATATCCCTTTTACACCCCAATCTTCCCCAGAAACACTAAACCCAAAACCCTTATAGAGCTCAGGGTTGACAACTCTGGGCTCCTAAACCCTAAACCCTAAACCCTAAACCTTATGGATGCTGGCCAGCCGCGAGCTCACTTGTGGCAGTCTCGGCGAGGGATGCGCCGTCGAGCTTGGCATTGACTGCCCCCAGCTCCTCTCTTCTTGAAAATGTCTTGGGTTGTCTCGGGGTTTAGGTTTTAGGGTTTAGGGCTAGGGTTTAGGGTTTAGGGTTTAGGGTTTAGGGTTCAGGGTTCAGGGTTTAGGGCTTAGGGAAGGGTGGTCGTCTAAACTATGATGCCTTTTGGGGTACCCTAAATAAGAGGTGCCATATTATAGTTATAGTAGGATCCAAAAAAAGGACCATAATTTTGACAACCAGCCAGTATGCCTGGTGATTGGGTTTCTAAAGTCCCTCCCAGCTCGGGCGGGATTGGGAGTCAGCCAAGAGGGTTTAGGGTTTAGGGTTTAGGGTTTAGGGCTAGGGTTTAGGGTTCAGGGTTCAGGGTTTAGGGCCCTTTTACGCCCGGACGCAGAAAATGGAGGGCCTTGATCCCCAAACGCCGACAGAAAGTTGATGCGTGACCCCCCCCCCCCCCCCCCAAAACCCTAAACCCTAAAACCCCTAAAACCCCTAAAGCCCACTAAAACCCCAAAACCCCTAAAACCCTAAATCACCTAACCTCTAAAGCCCCTGAAGCCCCGAAAGCATCCGAAACCATCCTCAACCATCCAAAACCCCTAAAACCCCTCAAGCCCGCACGACCCCTGGCACCTTTGGGCTCTCCAAGTCTGGGCCCTTAAAAGCGGGCCCCTTGTATACGCCTTATATACACCTTCCTTCTATAAACCTTATATACACACCTTATAAGGGCCCATACTTCAGAACCCTTTGAAGGAGGCACAGGGGCCTTATGAAGGGTGTTAGGGTTTAGGGTTTCTCCTGCACAGAACACCCTCTTAAGTTCACCATCAGGGGACGGGGTTGCAGGTTTAGACCCTGAACCCTAAACCCTAAACATACCTGACCCAAAAACACAAAAGGTAGTTCCCCTTTTAAGGGACACTTAGCCCATGGCCCATCCAAAATTAACGGGCCCTTTGCCTAAACCCATATGGCATACTTGAAGGTTCATGGGTACTGAAAAGAGAAAGGGTTACAAGCACCCTAAATAAGGTTATAACTTTAACCTTCGCCACCCTACTTTTCGCCACATTTAGCAGTACCAATGAACCTCCAGGTATCCCAAGATCCTTACCTAGGAACACGAACATTTTGTCCTCAAGGCCCCAATAAAACCCCAAACCATAGCCTGGCCCCAAACCCTAAACTCTAGACTGGCCCTAAAGTCAAAACCCAAAAATCTAAACCCTAAACCCAAAAATCTAAACCCTAAACCCTAGTAAATCCTAAACCCTACACCCCAACCCTGGAACCGCCTGAACCCTAAGCTGGACCCCATACACCCTAAACCCTAAGCCGGCCCCTAAACCCTGAACCCAAAAAACTGGCCCTAAGGACTGAAAATCGTGCCATCGCGCTTATAAGGGAACCTAAACCCTAAAAAAGGGAAAATGGGCCTTCTCTGAGACCTACTAAACCCTAAACCCTAAACCCTAAACCCTAAACCCTAAACCCTAAACCCTAAACCCTAAACCCTAAACCCTAAACCCTAAACCCCACAACAAGTCCTTGCCAATGCATCGGAAGGATGCCTGCAGCGCAGCCTGTGTCCAGGGGGAGAAGGTTGGGCCCCCAACACGTGCTGGAGTAAGTTAGGGTTTAGAGTTTAGGGTTTAGGGTTTAGGGCTAGGGTTTAGGGCTAGGGTTTAGGGTTCAGGGTGATTAGGGTCCAACAAAGGCAACCACACTGAAGGGCGGGAAGCCGCAAAGCCCTCCTACTCATCCTAAACCCTAAACCCCAAAACCCCAAACCCTAAACCCTAAACCCTAATCCAAAATCAGCCCCAACTCCCCGCCTGAGGGCCACCCTCCTCCTTGGATGGCCACGTAGGCGGCGGCTCCTTGTGTCTTAGGGTTTAGGGTTTGGGGTTTAGGGCTGAGGGTGTAGGGATGTGTAGGTTTTTTGTTTGTTGCCTCTCCGCCTAGCTGACTGAAACGCCACTCCGTGTAGGGTTTAGGGTTTATTGGGTTTAGGGTTTTAGGGTCTCAGGGTTTTAGCGTTTATGGGCTTCAGCGATTCTGGGGTGCAAGGAGGTTAGGCGTTAGCGCTTTTTTTGGGTGCGAGGAGGTTCGGTCTTAGGGTTTTGGGTGTGCGGAGGTTCGGGTTTCGGGTGTAAGGAGATTAAGGTTTAGAGATAGGGTTGAGGGTGTAAGGTGCATGTGTCGCTTGGGTCTCGGGCGCATGCTGGCATACCTCGCTGCTGTCAGAAGCTTCAAATGCCGAGCACGGCTTTCAAAGCCGTATAAACCTGCAGCCCGAAACCATCATGAAACAATTCAACACCCTAAGCCCGTTTCGAAACCCTAAACCCTAAACCCTAAACCCTCGGCCCTAAGCATGACAGACCTTGACCTCACGTTTTGCCCGTGCCTGCGCCGCAGGCAGTGGCTCGTCTCTAAGACCTGGGAGCGTTCAGGGCCTAATCGCTCACACTCGGACATTTAGTTGCTGAGTTCATAAGCCCCAAAGAAGTGTACACTTTCAGTTCCATAGGGGATTCTAGTATCTCCAAAAGTGTAAAGTGTGTGCTCACTCAGCTACTAAGGACAAGCCAGGAATAAGAACACGGTCATCTGCCCTTCAACAGCAGGGCCCTCTACGGTAAACTCCAGAAACATGGCCTAAGGATGATTTGAGCTGGGATTCCCTTTAGTATGCGTTTTGGGGTATGGGGATGAGGACGTTCCAACTTTTTGGGGTTTGATGTAGGCCCTGGTGACACGACGCCGGTGATTTGCTTCCGCTACTCAGTTTAGGCCTTTCGGGTTTGGGACGGGGGAAACTTCATCCTTTTGAGAGGAAACAGATGCCCAGGAATTAACACACATTCCTTTTTTTGAAGGTCGCAAAATTTCAAAAAGTTACCCCATCCTTCTGGGGACCTAATTCTGGGGTCCTTCGGTGACCCCTAGAGCCCTAGAGCCATTCACAGCGACTCAAGAAACCAACATAAAACCGCCACTCAGTTGGATGACTCTAGAAGAACCAGCTTTGTAGGGGATGTCGTTACCTCAGCCGCCATGCCGCCAAGCTTAAGGGTTTAGGGCTTAGGGGAAGGCTTTTTGACTTCCAAAAAACCCTAAACCCCAAACCCCTGAACTCCAAACCGACCTAGACCCGGACTCGATATGGATCCATTTTGAGGCTCCTGAATTTGCCTCGCTTACCGCTCACCCGAAATGTGATATTATGAGAAAGTACTTGTCGTACAGAAGTACACAAGAACATACAGTGTTCATCATGTGTGTATGTATGTATGTATGTATGTATGTATGTATGTATGTATGTATGTATGTATGTATGTATGTATGTATGTATGTTTTTCTATATATATATATATATTTTTGTTTTAATTATATATGCCTGAATATTAACCATGTAAACATATACTGTTGTGGGTGCTGGGGGCATGGCCCCTGTCTATCAGCTCTTTGAGCCCCCGGTCGCTGACCTTGCAGGGATCACTGGAAGGCCTTCAATCTCTTCGGGTTTAGGGTATTTAGGGCTTATGGTTTAGGGTTCAGGCTTCACGGGTTAGGGTTTAGGGTACCGCAAAGGGTCCATGCAATTCTTGAGGTGGTCTGAAGGGCTGTGATGTGTTTCGAGTTAGGGCTCAGGCGGTTAGGGCTTTAAGTCTTCAGCATTGCCTGAGCCCTCGAATACACACCTCCTTATAATGGGGCTTGTCCCCAAACGTCATCCAAAAAGCTCCTAACAAATCTTCCAAGTACACTGCAAACCCCTTAGCAAGAACTCAAAGCGTCCACCTGGCCTACTCTTAAACTCTGAACTCGAAAACCCCAAAGACGCTAAACTCTAAAGCCCAATACCCTAAACCCCTAAACACCTACAACAAGCACGCAAACCTGTAAACTGCTGTAATCCCCAAAGCCTAAGCCACATTCCGAAAGCCGTGCCGATTGCGCAAAACGGTCTCGCACCTGGTCTCTTCGGAAGCCCATGCCCTGTAGCTGCCGATTGCCTCCACCCCAGGTGTTTGGTGTTGGGGTTGATTGTAATAAGGTTAAGCATATAATGCGCGGGTTATAGCAAATTTTTAATCGTTTCGATATTAGATAGTTCTAAAATTAAATTCAAGAAGAAGGGAGGGAGGGAGGGCAGGGTAGGTTTCGGATGCTGTAGCCGCAATTCAGGTGCGGATGTTTCAGGGTTCTCGGCAGGGGAGTCTGCCGAACGAACCGCTACGCAGGGCCATGGTGCCTCGGAATATGGTTTAGGGTTTAGGGTTTTGGACTTAGAAAATCGAAAGGTGCAGCTTTCACGTATCTAGCATCTAGGTTTTCACGCATCTCCACGGGGATCGGAGCCTCCAAAGAGCGGACAAGAAGACGTGTTAAAGATGCTCCGTGGAATCTGGACTTTTGCGAACCATGTCCCGTAGCAAAGTGGATGTCATTTCAATCGAAACAGGCAGACTGCGGCAGACTGCTGTGCATGTGCAGCTTTGCAATATCTTACTGGCGAGCGCGAGAGGCCCAAGCAGAATGCACACCTGAGGCAGATCCCAACTTTAGGCAGAATGCATACTGAGACTCTTGATTGGAGGGAAAACCATCGTTACCCTACCTATAACACTACTTTTAAGTACACAAGTTGAACATCCAAGTAGGGTTCGGGGTGCCCTATCAGCCCTCAACCCTAAACCCTGGAACCCTGCACCCAAACCTTAAACGCCCCATGCCCGGCCGTCGTCGGAGGACTCATCAGGTCGAACATAGAGCTCCTCTAGCCTGACGGGGTGGGCTTCATAGGACGGATGTGGGGTTTAGGGTTAAGGGTTTAGGGTCTTTGTGCCACCTGCCTAGCAGCCTCGGAACCACATTGCAGGGATGCAAAAAGCTTCCATCGTAAGTGCAACTAAGAAATCGAAGAGTGGATTAATGACTCATCCTACTCATATGAGGTTGAGGGTTTAGGGTTCAGGGCCTAGGGTTGAATAAGGGGATTTGCCAAAATATTAAGGTGTTCCATTGGTGCCAACTACGAAGCTTCCCTTGCAATTGGGGAGATGTTGGGGCATCAAGGGGAACCAACTCTTGGAGACTAAACCTCCTTATAGGATTCTTAGGCAACCTACAAGCAAGTAGGCTTTGGATTCTTCAGGTTGAAGTTAATGCAGTATAGAAGCGACGATCACATGCGAGTCTCGGTGGAGGATTGGGTTTAAGGCATTACAGTTAAAGTTCGAGGAGAGGATGCAAGGCATTACAGTTAAAGTTTGAGGAGAGGATGCTTATTCTTTGGCCATGTCGGCATGCGTGCGGTTCTACTACACTGATACACAAACAGAGTGCTTCAGCCAAAAAACATTGCACCCATACGCCCTTGCAAGCCTAGCAACCTTCACTCCTTCTTGCACCCAAAACCTGAACCCTTTCTTTACAGCCTGAACCTTAAATCTTGAACCCTAAACCTTCACTCCCCAACCTTTTCAAGCACTCATCCCTAGATCCTAGGGCCTTCGCCCATAGACCCTGAACCCACAGGCGCATGGCAAGAAGTGATTTTCGGCTTTTAAGGAGGCTCGTACTGCGGGAGGGCTTCACGTTTTGACAAAAGAACCCTACTCCGTAACCCCTAAACCCCTAAACCCCTCACCCCAAAACCCCTAAACCCCTAACCCCCTAAACCCCTAAACCTCTAAACCCTGAACCCTAAACCCAAACCCCTAAACCCCTAAATCCCAAACCCCTAAACCCCTAAACCCCACCCCTAAACCACCAAACCCCCAAACCCCCTAACCCCCTAAATCCCAAACCCCTAAATCCCTAACCCCCTAACCGCTAAACCCTTAACCTCGAGCCAAGGTGCATTTGCTCCATCTCCTCCACGTCTGCAAAGGTCAAACCCCGGAGCTCTTGGACTTGCGACTTCTTCAAAAGGTCCTGCGGGTTTAGGGTTTAGGGTTTAGGGTTTAGGGTTTAGGGTGTGTGGGGTACCGGGGTTTAGGGTGAGGGTTTCGGCCTTCTGCACTCTCAGGATTAGGGCCTCGGGTCTTTGCAAGGTTTAGGGTCAAAGGTTTCTTCTAGGGTTCAGGGGTTTTCGGATCTTTTTAAACAAACTTGCAAGAAAGATGCCATGATCTTCTTTGCGGATTGAAGAGATGGCAGCGTTGAGTGCATCCTGCTTCCTTCTGGGAGCCTTTTCCCTCCCAGTTCCCCAGCTATGCGTGCTTAGGTCTTGTAGGGCTTAATTATGGGGCGTTATGGATTCTACAACGCTGACAGGTCTATAGGCCTTAGGAAACCCCATTCAATTACAACGAGGTCTTGCGAAAACTCTGCTGTAGGGGGCCCTTACCTGTTGCACCCTTTAAAAAGTTAAATGCGCCTTCATGTCTGTAGATATGTGTAGATCCTGTTTGAAGCCGCAGGGTCACTCTCATGGTGGGTTTAGGGTTTAGGGTTTTTGAGTTGTCCAGAAAACAGACACATCGATGGACCTGATAATCAGGTTACTTGAACCCTTAAGGACACAACCATTAGGTAGGTCCCTGCATGCATTTTGGAAATAAAACCCATCAAAGCAAGAAGTCTATACTCCCAATCATTAGAACCATAATGAGCGCGGTGTTTATGTACATCCCTTTCGGGGTCTATAGGGCTTTTAAGGTTCAGGGCTGAGACCCCATACCGTAAGTCCTTTTTGCACCCAGAAACGCGAAAATTCTGAGAGTAAAGCCTAACTCGTAGAACCCATATATTAAAATAAAGTAAAGAAGCCCTAAACTACCACGTAACAATGAATAAGTCCAAACAACCCAGAACAAAACACATAAAAAACATAAAACGCAGAAGAAGACCCTGCAAGAGCCTCCTACAGATACATGTTGTTGGGGCTTAGGCGGTTTAGGGTTTAGGGTCTAGGGTTTAGGGTTAATGCGTCAACCCTAACACCTTCCCTTTCCAGGGACCTCAGGGCGCCAGTAACCAAACATTATAGGTACCTGGAAGGATGGGGCAATCCCTAAACCCGAAACCCTAAAACCCTGAACTTAAAGGCTGAATACCCTGGCCCAAAAATGGTTAGCCTTGCATACGTAGTAGGATTCTGTATAACCAAAAAGGTTAAAGGTTACCTACCCAGCCCCTGAGTGAAAGGGCCTCGAGTATCTTCCCCGAGCCGCGCTCGACGCGGTGGGCAAGGCGACGCATCCCGCGCAAGGCCGCAGAACCTTTGTGCAAGGGGGTTTGGGGTTGACGGTTTAGGGTTTAGGACCCGAACGAAGACCCCCCAATAGTAGGATCCCCGTACAATACGGACCCCAATAATGTACCCCCAATATCGTAAACCCCCGTAATGCTTCCCGTAATGCTTCTTGGGTTTTGAGGACTTTTGGGGATTAGGGGTTTCGGGGGGTTTAGGGGTTCGGGTTTGAAGTGGAGAGGGTTTTGCAGGGATGCAGAACCAGACCCCAAACCCTCACTGCTGGACTCGAAAACTCAAAACCCCCCCAATCCTCATCCCTAAACCCGAAACCTGCTTTTGCTCACCCTAAACCCTACAATTCTTAAACGCCAAGCCCTACAAGTGCAACCTGCATCCTGCCATCCCCAACCCGTAAGTGCAACCTCAATTCCAAACCCCCTTTTCAAACCAAAAGCATAACTAAGCTAGCTACTACGCCCTAGGCCCCAAACCCTACCAAACCCCAAACCCCAAACCCGCTAGACCCGCCTAGACCATGATCCTGTTCAGCTGGCACGTCCCAAAGTCCCCATCCCCCCCCCCCCCCCCCCCCCCCAAAAAAAAAAAAAAAAAAACCTAAACCCTAAACCCTCAACCCTCAACCCCAAACCCAGAGGCAACCTGAATCCTGTCCCCCCCCCTCCCCCCAACCCAACAAAAAAGAAAAGAAGGAAAAGCCGGCCTTGAAGGTGCTGCACCTCCGGCCCACGGAGCACCTGCCACGTTGGCTCGGGGGGGGGGGGGGGGTGTATAGGGTGTTTAGTGTTTAGGGTTTAGGGTGGCTTTAAGGCTTAAGGGTTTGAGGGTTGTAGGGTTTAAGAGTCATGGGTTTAGGGGGTTTAAGGGTTTATTGGGTTTCAGGGTCGTAGGGTTAGAAGGTTTCAGAGATTGAGGGTTGTAGAGCTTATAGGTTCTGTTGCGCATATTAAGGGGTACCCCTGCAACTAGGGCGTCTGGGAAGGGTTTAAGGTTGGGTTTAGGGTTTAGTTTAGGGTTTCGGGTTTAGGGTTTAGGGCTTATTAGGGTTCGCGGAATGTCTCCAGGTGGCAGGGCACTTTTTTAAGGCTCCCGTCGCAAAGGAGAACTGTATAAATCATGTGGCACTGTGGAGCACCCCACGTGAAGCAAAATGATTCTGGCCAAGGCAGAAGCGCTTTCAGGATGTGAGTCGTTCTTGTCTTCCCTAAACCCTAAACCCTGAACCGTAAACCCTGGTTCCTTAACCCTGAACCCTTAACCCGATAAACCCTGATGGTGTGTGTATAGCTACGGCAAATGCCCTTAGCGGATGTCAGCGCTTCCCGCGCTCCCTTCGACGTTCCCGCCGGCGCGCTGCGCGCTCAGTAGAAGTAGCGGTGCATGCTGCCGAACTTGAACTTGTGCTTCTGGCGCAAGATGGCCAGACCGTGTCCTGGTAGCCCAATCACCCTTTTTGGGGTTGCTTTACTTAAACCCTAAACCCTAAACCCTAAACCCGAAACCCTAAACCCTAAACCCTAAACCCTAAACCAGGGTAAAGGGTACCACTGGGTTACCCAGGTGTCCGACAGTCTGCTCAATCTTCGGCTTGAAGTCCTCGGTTCGCCAAGAGTGGCGAAGCAGAAAGGTTTAGGGTTTAGGGTTTAGGGTTTAGGGTTTAGGGTTTAGGGTTTAGGGTTTAGGGTTTAGGGCCTAGGGCCGGCTCCCTTGCAACTACCCTACACTCCCTTAACCTTGATGTTAAACCTCCCCCTACCCCCTAATACCCCCCCCCCCCCATACACGATGATATAACTCTAACTGGAGTTTCTGATATTAGGGGTAGTGAGTAGGAGCTCCCTAAAGCCTAAGATCCTTCCTGGGTGCATCCAAGAGTCAGGGTGCTTCTCCAGCATCTTCCCGTAAGCCTCCGCCGCCTGCTTGGCGTGGTCGTCCATGTTCTCCACTTTCTCCTCTTATACTGGTTCTTAGTATTGGGGTATGAGGGCATGAGGTGCCCACTTCAGCATCCCCAGAAGATTCTGAATAGGGAAAGATAAGGTACTCTGGTTCTTAGTATTGGGGTATGAGGGCATGAGGTGCCTACTTCAGCATCCCTTGAATCCGCGGAATTTACCCCATTACCCTATGCTAAGACCTTTAAGGTACCCCATTGCCCTATACTAAGACCTTTAAGGCACCCTATTACCCCCTAAACCCTAAACCCTAAACCCTAAACCTTAAACCCCAAACCCTAAACTAAACCCTAAGACCCAGTAGAGCTCCTCTGCGGCAAACCCCGTGCCCATGAAGCCCGAAGCGCGCGTCGCCAACTCGGCCAACTCATTCAGGTGGTCGCGAATGTCCTCACCTTGGTTGCTTAGGGTTTAGGGTTTAGGGTTTAGGGTTTAGGGTTTAGGGTTTAGGGTTTAGGGTTTAGGGTTTAGGGTTATAAGGTACCCAAGTTCACTTACTTGCTGAGTTCATAAGCCCCCAAAAAGTGTACACTTTCAGTTTTCTAGGGGTTAGTTAGAGTATCCCAAAAAGTGTAAAGTGCACTCGCTCAGCTACTAAGTCACACTGGTAGAACACATCCATCATCTCTTGGATCTCCTTGAAAGAAAATTGGAGGTTCATTTTGGGTACCTTCTTAGTATGGCTAAGTAAGGTAGCTATGACCTTACGTACCCATGGACCTCCAGGCAGGGTTGAGGGTTGTGCGCTTGAGAGGCCAACTAGGGTTCCATTGTGCTGACATGCACAGTGCTTTAAACAAATCGCGAGTCTACTTAATTGCAGTAAGCAAACAACAAAAAATCTCAAAAACAAGTCAAAACACAAAATCAATTCCTTTTGAAACTGAATTCCGTAAAAAGAAGGCTCCTCGGACTCAGGGTGCGGTTGGGAGCTGAGCTAACTTGGGGTTACCCTCTTTGCCTGTCTACATGTGGTGCGACTCAACGGTTCGAACCACCCATCGTCGACTGTGCAGATGTGGCTGCAAGTTCGCGTTTACATGCCCGCCTACAATCAGTACTGTACCCTCGCTCTCAACTTCTTGTCCACACATCGCTCGCGCTCTTTGTCAGCTGTTGAAACCGGTACGATCAAACGCTCCCTGCCTCAGGTGTGTACTTATTGTGGCAAAAAAAGGGCCCCAAGTGTTTAAGAGATGTTTGGAACCCCGGGGTATGTTTAACATTTGGCTCTGCAAGCTGTGGCTAAACATGTCTAAACACGCCGCCACAAAACTCTGCCTGCCTTACAAGCATGTCTTACCCTGTTTATGTTCACTTCAAAAGTGGTTTGCCCCGTCCCTGCCTTGAACTTCTTGCCTACGTCGGGCTCATGGAGGTACGGCTGCACGACTGAAGTCAACTTCTCCAGCTCTGCCTCCCAGAAGGGGACACTGTAGACCAAGATGAGGTAGTCGGCCCAGTTGGTGCTCATGACGGTAGCATGGTACTCATCAAGGGTGCTCAGCACATCATCCCTGGAGTACTTCTGCATGGTGGTGTAGGATCGCGTGGCGGCGGCCTGCAAGGGCAGTCGCGCACACATCCCTGTAAGCCTCGTGGCTGGCATTGTCGGAGGTCGCACCAACAACCTGGCGGACCGCCCCGCGCCGAGCGCAACGCCGCGCAAAGCTGAGAGCGCCATCGTGGCACAGGAGGAGCGGTACAGACAAGCAAAGGCTGCTGCAGCTGCTACTTTGCTGAAGCCGGAAATCAAAAATGGATTGCGAGTTGTGGACGATAACACTTCACTTTCTGACATTCCATGCATTCAAGCGCAGGCAGTACTTGTTCTACACCTTCAAGAGTTGTCGCTGGCGAACGTCGGGACCTCAGAATCCATCACTACTGAGCCCCCTGCAATCTTTTCTTTAGCAGAAACATGAAGAAGGCTTATATTCCTAAAGGGGCCGTAGGCAATGAACAAAGACCGAAGTGCGCATGCACAACACGAGGGGGCGGGGCTTAAGGCCTTAAACCCTAAACCCTAAACCCTAAAGCTGTTTAAGGCAACAACCGCACCCCCTGCCCTGCGCCTCGCCCGCGAAGCGGGAAAGCCAAAGCGCAGCATCCTAGCACCAAGGCTCGCACCCTAAACCCCAATCCTAGAGGGTGTAGGGTTTAGGGTTTAGGGTTTAGGGTTTAGGATAAATATATAAGGGTCCACGTACCTATATGGTATATACTTGGGCCCTAGAGCAACTATGTGGCAACCTCTTTAAGGCCCAAGTATGTACTATATAGGTACATGGACCCTCAGGTCAAGAGAGGTGTCGTTTGCTTATATGGTCCTTGAAACTCCTTCTGCTCCCTAGCTCAGGGACACTGTAGGCTACTGAGCCCCTAAAGATATCCCAAATATATAGGACACAGCAAAGAAGGGCGCACAGGTATTGCAAGTATGGAAAGGAGCACCCCGAATATGGATGAAAAGCTATCTACAAGCTCGGCTATGCCAAAGCCATAAACCATCCCTAAGCCTCTAGACCTAGGAAGTCGAGAATGCAATCCTTCCCGGGCAGATGGGTTCAGACTCAGGCGTCCTGGGACGCCGCATCGTCCCGGAACTGCGCCAATTGCAGCGCAATTCCAAGATTTGTCCCGTACCTCCGTCCACATATGCGGCCAGCAACACACATAACCTTGGGGGCCTACATGAACTCTAGGATCAACCCCTAAACGACTACAATCCGTGATAAGATGCATTCGAGCATATGTACCATGAACCTTTTGGTGCTCCTGCAGCTGTAGCGCACAAGGAAAATCGAAGCCTCAACCGACTGCTTAAGAACCCCCAACAAAACAAAATAACAGAAAAAATCTTTGAATACTCTGATAAGGAAGAATACTCTTTTGAATACCATCATCAAGAAGGCTATTGATTTTTTGTTGATTACCGTTATAAGGAAGCTATTTTTCTTTTTGGGGGGAGGGGGGGGTTCCTAAGCAAGTAGTAGCAACTCGTTGCTTTCAAGCGCAGGCTCTCTAGGGCAACACCAGCTCCCCCTAAACAAGGAGCTGTCTGACGTGCCTACGAAGACCCTATACACAGCTCCAAGCCCTACACTTTGAAAGCGAAAGCCCCTTTGCAACAGGTTTCCAATGCCTAAACCCTAAACCCTAAACCCTAAGCCCTAAGCCCTATAAGCCCTAAGCCCTAAGCCCTAAGCCCTAAACCCTAAACCCTAAACTCCACTTAAGGGCCGCCGGGACACTTCCGGAGCACCTTGACAACCGACCTCGGCGCGCCGCTGAGCCACGCGGCCCCGGAGGCCACACCCGAGAAGTAGCCTGGGATTGGGGTTTAGGGTTCAGGGTCTAGGGTTTGGGGTTTGGGGTTTAGGGTTCAGGGTTTATAGGGTTTGTAGCGTTTGTAGGGTTTGTAGGGTTTATAGGGTTTATAGGGTTTATAGGGTTTATAGGGTTTATAGGGTTTATAGGGTTTATGGGGTTTTTAGGGTTTTTAGGGTTTCTTTGCGCCCGCGTTCCGCGTAATCGACCCCCCCCCTGCTTGTTAACCCTAAAAACACCTCCACGGACCACGGGGGAGGACAGAGAAACCTCAGCCTAAACCCCACACCCTGAACCCTAAGGCCCTAAAACCTAAACCCACCGGGAGAAGGGTAAACCCGAAACCTTAGCCGCTTCATCCCTGAACCCGGAACCGTAAACTCAGCACGAACCACAGGGGGGAGAGGGGAAACCGTAAACCTACCATTACCCCAAACCTTGAACCCTGATTAAACTCTAAACCCACAATGAACCAATGGACCAGAGTGAAAATCTGAACGCTACAGCCTAACCCTATATAAACCCCTAAACCACAAACCCATGAACCACAGGGGTTGGGGGGGGGTGGCCCAAAACCCACCATGAACCACAGGGGGGGTGATACCATGGGGGGGGAGGGGGGGTGCGCCTATGCTGGCCCATATAGGGTTTATAGGGTTTATAGGGTTTTTAGGGTTTATAGGGTTTATAGGGTTTATAGTGTTTATAGGGTTTATAGGGCTGTAGGGCTTTCGGCGTTAGGGTTTGGGCTTTAGGATTTAGGGCTTCGGCGGCACAATCCGTCTAGGATTTAGGGATACCGACGAAGTATGTAACCAAAGGTTCCCTGATACTCGCTCTGAGGGGGATCCAACCCTTGTCAGGGACAGGGAAGGGATTGAAGGCACCTGTGGGCAACCTAGCCGAAAACCGGAACCGAAAAAACAGAATCGCGAAGAGCCCGCAAAGGATAGGGTTCTTGCGGAAGCCATTTAAGAATTCTTTTCGGCTTTCAAGGTACCTGAAGGCTCCTATGTAGTACTTTTTTGGGGTAAGTATACTAGAACCCCCTATAACTAACCCATTAACCCTAAACCCTAAACCCTAAACCCTATTAGAGACTCCAGGTAAGCCCCGGAGCTGCCCACGCGGAGGTACGCGGCATGGAGGGCCGCACGGGCCCCTGCGATTGGGAGGTTTTAGGGTTTAGGGTTTAGGGTTGGGGCTTCCAGTGCTACTTCTCTGGGCAGCAGGTAAACTGTACCTGGTACAGTCTCAAACATACACATACTGAAACTTTTTGCAACATATCGTAATATGGAGCCTGCGAAAGATCCGCGTGATGCAAAGGGGCTGCCACTGGAACAGAGACACGGCCCTCGGACGGTTCCAACATCACAGCCTTGCAAGAAGGCGCCCTGTTTGTATCCACCGGCTTTTCGAGACATGCGGAATAAAGCACACAGTGCGGGGCGGAGCCCTTAGTGACCGCCAACCAGTTTCATGACCAGTCTTAGGGTCCTGCATGGTGACTGAGGCTCGGAGATCATTTGGGCCCCTACTCTTCTACTATGGCCCTTAAAACCATCTGAAAAATATTCCTAAACATGATCCTCTTAATGAAACCCAACAAGAGAGAATAAAAAGCATCCCAAGGGCCGCCTAGTATAGTTGAGTCTGGCAGAGACTAGGGCTGTGTGTGGAGGGGGTGGGGGTCCCGAGCTTTTCTCTACCAAAGCTCCGCAGCAATTGCAAGAATATGCCGCATCCTCGAAGTTGATGCTTTACTTCGGTTGCCTCTAACTTCCTCTCTATTTGGACCTACTTCATTACTGCTCAGGGTTTAGGGGTTAAGGTTTGGGGTTTAGGGTTTAGGGCGCATTTTTTGCAACCTCTCACATGACCTTTGTCTGGGTTCATGTAGGCCTGACAAAGTCACCAGGAATCCGAAACGTCCAGGCGGGCGCCTACGTCGCCCACGGCGTAGCTCGCGCGCCCGGCTGGGGCGGCTCCCCCCTTCGAAGCGCCGTCGGAGACGTCCTACGACAGAGGCCCCTAAACACCTAAACCCTTTCTCTGTTGAATCCAGACTCCCAAAACCCTAAACCCTGACCCTAAACCCTATACCCTATACCCTAAACCCTAAACCCTGACCCTGAACTTTATACCCTATACCCTATACCCTAAACCCTAAACCCTATCCTCGAACCCCCCGAAGAAAGCGCGCAAGATGCCCAACTAGGGCCCCTAAAGCCCCGCAAAACCGCCAAAACCCCCTCATTCAAACTTGGAGGACTACTTGCAGGTTGGTGGGGTACATAGAAGTAGGCTTCTAAGTACCCTAAGTAAGATAGTTACCCTAGCTGCTCATAACCGTAATAACCGTGCTTCTGAATAGCCATGAGCCGTAAGCCCCAAATTACGGAGTACTTGGGTGCAGGTCAGAGTTCAGGTCTATCAGGTCAGGGTCGGACATCAGCTTTGGGGCTTGTAGGGTTTAGGGTTTAGGGTTTAGGGTTTAGGGTTGGCTATTAGGCTAAGGCTTCAGCAGCACTCTCAATCTATCGGGTTCGTGGCTGAGAGTATATAGAAGATTTGCATACCATAGTTGCTATAGGGTTCTTATACTATAGGGTTTGTGTAGTTTATATAAGGCTTGTATAGGCTGTATATAGGGTTGTGGTTGAGAGTTCACATAGGGTTTGCACAGGCTGTGTACGGCTTTACAGGGCATAGGGTTCACGGTTACACTCACCCGGGTTTCCTCGAGATGGAAGTGTTTGGGGGAGTTGAGGGCTTTGAGGGTTGAAGGTTGAGGGGTTGGAGGGTTTAGATGGATGTGACAGGGGTTGAGGGATTTCGTGAAATTGCGTGCTTGGAGGTTTGGGTCAAAGTGGGTAGACTACAGCTGAAGCCTGTGTGTCTGGTTTCCTAGGTAAACTCAAAACACCATGCAATGTTAAGGTTTCGTGTTTAAGGTTAGAGCTTTAAGCCCAAAGCTCCAAAACCCGTGTAGGGTTTGGGGCATACGGCTTCGGAGTCCTAATCTTAAGAGTGCCGTATTCCATGCAGGAAGCCCAAAATATACGCTTGAAACTCCGCGGGCTGCGCCTACTTGGAGGTTCATGCGTACTTCTAACCCCAATTCTAAGTCTACTTTCAACCTACTTAGAAGACTTCGGGGACTTCGGGGGCTTAGAAGTACAGTTCTAATTAAGGTGTTATGAGTTCAAGCAGGGTTTAAAGCGCATTCAGGGATACTGTAGAATATGGCCCTCATATTCCCTTAGAGGATCTTCAAAATGGTCCCCAAGCCCAAGGTACAACCTTAGGGGTCCAAGGTGGACCCCCATGACTACAGGGTTCAGGGATCAA